CCCGAAAGCCTCCAAGAGAGCCTCAAGACCCCAAGAGGCCCCTCAAGAGGCCCCCAAAAGGCCTCAGGTCCCCAAGAGGTCTCCAACACGCCACAAGTGACCCCCAAGAGACACCCCAAGATACCCAAGCAGGCATCCAGTGGGCCTCTAGCCCACACAGGCCCCTGGGATCGCCAAGCGATGCCACGCTCCCTCGTTCAGAGCGACTCCGCTGGGAATCGTGCCTGGATGGGCTGGCGGGGATACATCAAGAGACTCCTGCTCCGGACAGCGCTGCGGCGCTCGGTCGGGATGGCAAGCCCAGACGGCCTGTGATCTGGCAAGCGCCAACCTGCGCGGAGCGTGGCGAAGGACGCACGCACCTGCTCCATTTCGCCATCCCCTCTCGCACGCGCCGCAAAGAAGGGGAGGCGGGGTCTTGCCGTCGCTCGGACGTCCATCCCCCCGTGCATTTCTTGGTTTCGTGTATGAATTTTCGTTGCTCGATGATCCAGAATGCTGCTCGATGGTCCTCGCCGAGAGAAATATGCCCACGTCCGAGCAATGGGCGGATGTCGTGGGGGCAGGTCTGCTGCCCTGCAGGGGAGGGAGGCTGGGGGTAGAGGAGGGGAGAGGATGTCGAGAGGGAGAGGGCGGGGAGGGAGAAGAGCAAGTGGAGCACGGGCCACCGTCGACCGGCCGTGCGGGACCTACGCGGGGGAGGAGGAGGGAGGAGGAGGAGGAGGAGGAGGAGGAGGAGGAGGAGGAGGAGGAGGAGGAGGAGGAGGAGGAGGAGGAGGAGGAGGAGGAGGAGGAGGAGGAGGAGGAGGAGGAGGAGGAGGAGCAGGAGGAGGAGGACGAGGAGGGGGATGAGGAGGAGGAGGAGGAGGAGGAGGAGGAGGATGAGGAGGAGGAGGAGGAGGAGGAGGAGGAGGGGAGGAGGAGGAGGAGGAGCAATGAGCAATGAGAACAATGGCGGGGGCGGGCAGGCCAGATCTGCGATGAGCGCCCACACGACCTTTGGGAGGTGCATGAACTCGTCCTGCCTCGGGAGCGCAACAGCAAGCGGAGGCGCACGGGGTGACGTTTCGGAAAAGGTACCCTTGTGCGGACACGTCGGGCAAACGCAGGAACGATACGTCGCGACACCTTTATACCGAAGGACACAGTCACACACAATAGTGTCTGAGGCGACCCTGTTGACCCTGATCACTGAATCAAGCGGTGTTGATACCAGGGTGCCCAAGCAAACCTAAACTCAGACATTGCAGGTTCCCCCGTCCTTCTTCTGCCCCTTCCCCTCCCCCTTACTTTACTCACTCCTCCGCCTCCTCCTCCTCCTCCTCCTCCTCCTTCTCATCCTACCCTTCTTCATCCTTCCCCTCTTTCCCCTCCCCTCCTCACCGTCCTCCTCCGCCTTCAACTCTTCCTCACTCTCCCCCACCTCCTGCCTCGCATCCTCCTCCCGCTCCTTCCCATCTTCCCCGGCCCCCCCCTCCCCCTGTCGTGCAACCCCTCCTTCGTCTGCCCATCTTCTTCCTTCTCCTCGATCTCCTTTTCTGCGTCCCTGCGCCGCTCCCAGCCCAGGAGCCCTGAGTGGGGCGGGGACCTGGGCAGCGAAAGACCCCCCCCGGCCGCGGGCAGTGCTGTTGCCTCGGCGACTCGCCAAACAAGGGACTGTGGGGCGGAGGTTAACGGGAGAGGGATGAGGCGAGGGAGAGGAAGAAGAGGACGAGTAGGGGGAGGGTGACGGAAAGGTGGGTGCGAACGCTAGAGGAGAAGAGAGGGGGGTGAAGATGTAGCAGTTCCTGAGAGAGAGAGAGAGGGATAGAGAGAGAGAGAGAGAGCTCCTCCTCCACCCCCTCCACAATTACTCAATATGAATACTACTCTCCCTCTTCCCCTGATGACGGTTTGAAAGTGGCCGACCCCCCCCGCGTACTGTTTTTTTACACACAAGTTTCCCCGGGGTTGGGTTTTCGCCTGCATCTTTTTTCAAAATGCTGCTCTCGCTGAGGCGCCGGCCTCATTTTCGGGCCCCGCTCGTTCCGAATCGTGCTCCCGCTGCAGCGCTGGCCTCATTTCCGTGCTTCCGCTCGTTCCGAATCGTGCTCCCGCTGCAGCGCTGGCCTCATTTCCGCGCTTCCGCTCGTTCCGAATCGTGCTCCCGCTGCAGCGCTGGCCTCATTTCCGCGCTTCCGCTCGTTTCGACTCGTGCTCCCGCTGCAGCGCTGGCGTCATTTCCCGTGCCATGCCACGGCATGCAATGCAATGCTAGGTTGATACTACGCTTTGCGGTGCTCTTCTACGCCATGCCATGCCGTGCTCTACAATGCATCGCGTACGCTTTCGGGATCATTGCCCTGCTCGACATGCGACTGAGCGAGTAGAGAGGGGATCTGCGCTATGGTAAGGGATGGGAGGGAGGGGTAGGATGTCAGATATGACGCGAACGCACCTAGCTTGACAATTACTACTCTCTTCTTTCCCCTGATGACGGGTTGGGAGTGTTCCCCCCCCCCCCCCCGCGTACTGTTTTTTACACACAGGTTTCCCCGGATTGGGTTTTCGCCTGCATCTTTGTTCACCATGCTGCTCTCGCTGAGGCGCCGGCCTCATTTTCGGGCCCCGCTCGTTCCGAATCGTGCTCCCGCTGCAGCGCTGGCCTCATTTCCGTGCTTACGCTCGTTCCGAATCGTGCTCCCGCTGCAGCGCTGGCCTCATTTCCGCGCTTCCGCTCGTTTCGACTCGTGCTCCCGCTGCAGCGCTGGCGTCATTTCCCGTGCCATGCCACGGCATGCAATGCAATGCTAGGTTGCGTTCCGCTGCGCGATGCCATGCCTTCAGCTGAAGCTGTGATATGCAGTGCTTAAGTGCCACGTCGTGCTACGCCATGCTACGCTTCGATCTTCAACGCCATGCTATGCAATGTTATGTTCGGGGCCGCTGTGCGATGCCATGCTTTGCGTTGCAAAGCTTTGTGATGCAATTCTTCACTACGCCACGCCACGCCATGCAATGACATACTACGCTTTGCGGTGCTCTTCTACGCCATGCCATGCCGTGCTCTACAATGCATCGGGTACCCTTTCGGGATCATTGCCCTGCTCGACATCCGACTGAGCGAGAAAAGAGGGGATCTGCGCCATGGTAAGGGATGGGAGAGAGGGGTAGGATGTCAGATATGACGCGAGCGCACCTAGCTCGTCCCCCTCCCCCTCCCCCTCCTCCTCCTCCTCCTCCTCCTCCTCCTCATCCTCCTCCTCCTCCCCTCCCTCCTCCTGTTCTCGGCAGCTCGAAACTGTGGCTCTGAGGGGTGGGGCCCTAAGGACGAGGGCCCCAACAGTGAAGGCTTACCTTGTGACTTATTTCCTATCATGGGGGCCCCATCCATCAAAGCCCCATCCTTTCAACCACCGCTCCTCGTCGTCCTCCTCAATTCCCCTTCCTCGCTCCCATATTAACCTCCCTCCCTCCCCCCCCCCCCCCTCCCCCCTCTTCCCTCCCCCCCTCCTCCCTCCCCCTTCCGCCCTCCTGGGGGAACGAACAGATACCGATCTCGCTACTTCCTAGACCTCTCCCGGGGTGCGTTCTGACCAGGATTCCAAGGCGATTTCAGCCGTGGCGACGAGGGAAGCGTAACAATTTCGATACTTGTTCCTCATCTGATCATCCCTCCTTCCATCCGACTTCCCGTCGTCACCACGCCGCCGCTGCCACCCGCCACCGCTGCCGCCGCTGACGCTCTAAAAAAGTGCGACATCGTGAAAGTCACGACCAGAGCCCTGGACCCCACCTGTCTGTATCAGCTTTCGAGGCAGATCGATCTGCGATGGTCCTGGGGCCCAAAACCGAGCGAAGACGCCTTGCGTGAACAAAAAATGCAGCGCCAAGTCTTGCCTTCGCTCGGACGTCCATTCCCTGAGCATTTTTCGGTATCGTGCGTGTTTTTGTTTGCTCGATGATCCAGGCCCTCCAGGGTCCTGGCCGAGAAAAAAATGCACACGTCCGAGCGATGCCAGGCAAGATCTCAGGGCCATGGCCGCCTCCAGAGGCCCCGCGCGCGGAGCTCGCCCGCTCGCCTGCCCTCCCGGAGGCGGAGCTCGCGGCCCACCGTGTCGTCCTGCGGGGGGGGGGAAACGCTGGCGGAGCGCTGGCGGCAGCTGCCCGCGGCGGCCGCCGAGGCTAGAGGGAGCGGAATGCCCGAGGCTCGGGGCTCAGGGATCGATGGAGGGATCGATCGATCGATCCAGGGACCGATCGATCGAGGGTCGAGGTCGAAGGCTCGATCGACCGATCCTTCGAGGGATGGATCGAGGGATTGATCCACCGATGCCATGCATCAATCGATGGATCGATGGATCCATGGAGGGATCGATCGATCGATGATCGAGCTGTCGAGGCGGACTCGGCTACGCGCAGGAGTGGCGCACTGGGCAACAAAACGACGTCTGGTGCGGCGCTTCGGGGGGCCGCGAGAAGGCCGAGCCCAAGCGCGCCAAGTGGTGCGGGGGGGGGGGACCCCCGTGGGCCCGCACCACCTTGCCATCGCTCGGACGTCCATTCCCCGTGCATTTTTATGTTTCGCGCGTTTTTGTTGTTTTTGTTGTTGTTGTTGTTGTTGTTGTTGTTGTTGTTGTTGTTGTTGTTGTTGTTGTTGTTATTGTGGTTGTTGTTTTTTCCTTTGTGATGAACCATCATGCTCCTTGATGGTCCTCGCCGGGGAAAAATGCACTCGTCCGAGCGACGCCAGGACCAAAGGCCACTCTGGCGAAGGGTCCCTCTTGCGCGCAGCCGAGGGGCGCACAGCACATGCCAGAAACCACCGAGAGAGTGGAATCCTGCGGCCGCATTTGGTGATACGGCGCGCTAGAATCTCCCGCCAGAGGCTTGGAGGATCTGTATACTGGAACCATCGTGCGTGCTCTCGCGCGCGCTCATGCTCTATCTGCCTTTGGGACCCAGCGTATAGCGTGGAAGATGGACGGTGCCCGAATCGGAGGGTCGTCGAGCCATGTCCCCGCGGCAACCTCAGGCGGCTCCCGCCGCCTCCACACCTTCCCTCGATCCGCGGAGGAAGGATGTCGAAGATGGCGGGGCGAGTATTCGCGAAGAGGGAGGGGGCACGGACCAGAGGTGGGGTGGAGGGCCAGACCAGAGGTGGGGAATATGAGGCCAGAGAGGGACGCGGTCAAAAGGAGGAGGAAAAGAGTGGGGAAGAACGATGACGGAAGGAAGGCGATGAAGCGAGAGACGCATGCAGGCCACGTACTGACGTACTGGTGCTTCTGCGAGTTCGCCGCGCCGCTTCGCGACTGGGCCAAACCAGGCCTCTTTCTCGTCTGGGATCGGCCAAAGGCCAGAATCAACAACTTTTGCCAGCTTCTTGGCCCGCCGCAACCGGAAAATGGATGAGGAGGAAGAAGACCAATGCAAATCCAAGAAAGACGCATCAACGATGTTGCAATACACCCTTCCTCCATGTTCTTCCCTCCTCATAGATCCCATACAATAAATCAATTTTCGCTTCTGGAAATGCCCCGTTGGAGGACAACCGTCAGAGAATCCCCAATCGTGCTAACACAACACTCCTTAGACTTCAACGCTGCGGATCAACTTTGCTGTTGCGTCCTGAAGGTCCTGAGTCATGCCAGCACATCATTCCTCGGACTTCAACACCGTGAATCAATGTGGCTGTTGCGCCCGGACAATCCCAAACTGTGCTGGAACACCGTTCCTGGGACGTCAACCATAAGAATCCGTTAAAAGGTTGTAAGCTTATGATGCGAATCTGCGCGGCGCTAAAGCGAGACCCGCACTTTGAAACAAGCATGCCCTTCATTTCTCGCAAGCTTTTAGAGCGAATGTGCGCGGCGCTTCGGCGAGAACACCATATTGAAAACCACCCGCCCTCCCTCCGTGAAAGACTTGCAAATCTTAAGAGTGTGCGCGGTGCAAAAGCGAGAACAACATTTTGAACACTAACCGCCCTCCATCCGTGAAACATGCGCGAACTTTGAAGATGAATGTGCGTGGGGCAAAAATGAGAACAACAACTAACCGTTTTCCATCCGTTAAGCTCTTGCTATTTACGGCGATCATCACAATTTGAAAACGACCCACCCTCTATCCGTGCAATTCTCGCATACTTTTAAAGCGATAGTGCGCGGCGCCAAAGCGAGAACCACATTGTGATAATCACCCACCCTCCATCCGCGAAGCTCTTGCACATTAAAAAAAGAGTATGCGCGGCGCTAATGCGAGAACCAACTTGTGTAAACGACCCGCCCTCCATCCGTGAAGCATGTGCGAACTTGTAAAAAAATGTGCGCGGCGCAGAAGCGACGATCACATTTTGAAAAAGGCCATCCCTCCATCCTTGAAGCTGTTGCCTAAGCTTCAAGATCATAATTCGTGAGGGGATCCAAAACGAAACGCCAGACCCGTACTACCAAGACGTCTCGGGGTGCGACGGGGAGGATTTATCATTAAGGAAAAAAGATGGAGGAGGAGGATCATGATAAAGGAGCCCTCATGCGGAAGCTTGCCCGAGAGCTCTCCTAGACACGGGGGCCTCTGATTCTCGTTTTTGGAGTCTCCTGGAAAGTATCTTGGGAGCCTGTCTGGGCCTCTTAGGAAGTCTCTTGGAAGTTTCGTGGGGGCCTCAGGGGGCCTCTCGGTGGCTTTTGCAAGCCAGCTGGCGGTCTCGGACTCTCGGGGGGACCTCTTGGATGGGATTCTTTAAGCTGCGCGCATCCCCGCCAGCGTACTGGACTCGATTGCACAGGACACGCGAGAGGACACAACACCCTTCCGAGGGCCACATTGCCACATGAATGTAGGAAGCATGGGTCGCGAGACACAGGACACAAGGGTAACCTTGATTTGGCAGGGTCGACCTACTAGTCTAGGCCGACTGTAATTGTGAACGATTCCCAGGTGGGATGTCTGGGGCTCTCGTGGGGCAGCTTGGGCCCTGGGGCGTCTGGAGCCCCCTTGGGGTTCTCTTTTGGGCGCTCGTGGGCGCCTGTAGCGCCGACTCGGGGCCCTCTTCGGGGCCTTTTAGACCGTCTTGGAGCGGTCTTGGGTGCCGTCTTTCAATAAATGGAGCGAATTTTGTCTCGTGGGGCCCGTTTGGGGGACCTCTCGGAGCCGTCTTGGGGGCATCTGAAGCCGTTTTGAAATCACCTTGGGCTGCCTGGAGCTGCTTGGAATCCATCTGGGGACGCCCGGAAGCCTTATTTGCCCGTCTTGACTCCGTTGGAGCTTATCTGGGGGTCCTGGGTGGACCCGGGGTGGCTCCGGGGAGGCTCCGGCGGCGCCATGGGGAGGCTTTGGAGGGGAGGGAACTTCATACATCCTCTGGCCCCAAGAAGCCCCCGGGTCTCTGGTACATGAAAATTTGTCAGTTCGCGCGCGCACGCGGACGGCTCCTGGGGGCCTGGGGGTCCCTGGAGGGGCACTCGGGCAGGTCCCGGCAAGTCCGGTTCAGAGATGCTGGAACTCCTGGGCGCTGGCTTCAGGATCTCCAGTGAAGCCTCAGGAACGCACCAAGGTGGTCCTCGAAGTCTCGAGACAGGCCAACCACGCATGACCCCAAGACGGCCCAAACGGCCCCAAAGACGCACAAATCATTTATTTCCCATCTGGTTGATTTGTTCTCGCTTTTCCAAAATGTCTGGAAGCCCAGAACGGCCCAATCGGCCCCCGAGCTCGTTTCAATACAAGCTCATAGGCCGCCAAGGGAGCCCCAAGACGGCTCGTCTCAAGACGGCCCAAGAAGCCCCCAAGACGTTGATTGACATTTTCCAACGCTGTCGCCAGACTCGCCGCCCATCGCCTCGACGCCTAGCCCAGGACCAATCTGGATGGGACCCCGTGGGTAAAGCATAGGCCGCACTCTGGTCCACGGAGGGCCCATGGACCATCACACGTGTGGGATTGGCGCGGGAATTCCTGGCACTCCAAGGACCGAACTGCTGTCGCTCCACGCAATGACCTCCTCCTGGCCTCTGCTGTAGTAGTTAGAAGGTGGAGCCACACCACTTGCGTGAGCTCGGCCGCAATGCATCGTGGCCGACTGCAACGACGGGCATTCTCTGCTCCTGACTGTTATGCTTCTTGTGCACCCAAGGAGGGAAACCCGTGTCAAGCTCGCCCTTGTCTCAGCGCCCCGTGCCAGACGACGGTGGAGCCACAGGCATGTCGTGGTCATCGAATGATGCGCGCAGACACGAGGTGCTGGCCAGGCCCCACAAAGAACTCCACCCGAAGAGGGTAGGGGGCAATGGACCTGGACGGAGGTTATAGATATATATAGATATATATATATATATATCTATAAATGATATATGTATTCTTCTTCCCTACCTAGGCTCTGCCTAGAAGGGTTCTTACTCGGTATGCTTAAAGGGCCGGGCAGTGCAACTCACCCCGGGCGGTTCCCCCAATATCCGCCCCGCGGTTCCCCCAGCTACGTCCCCTTAGCTTAGCGTTGCTTATCTCATCTTAGCTTAGCTTATTTCATCATAGCTTAGCTTAGCTTCATCTTAGCTCAGGTTTATCTTAGCTAGCTTACCATCATCTTAGCATCGCTGAGCTTTAGCATATTATAGCATAGCAGAGCACAGCATATCATAGCGCAACACATCATATCATAGCATAGCCCAGCATAGCATAGCATAGCATAGCGCATCATCGCATAGCATTGCATAGCATAGCATAGCACATCATAGCGCAGCATATCATAGCGCAACATAGCGTAGCCTATCATATCATAGCCTAGCCTAGCCCAGCATATCATTGCACATCATAGCATAGTATAGCATATCATAGCTCCTACTAATGCTGCTTTTCTAGAGGCTCCAACTCCTAGGTAGGGTCGCACTGGGATAATATATATGTATATATATGTTTCAACATATTATCATCATTATTCTATTATTATTATTATTATTACTAATGTTATTCTTATTCTTATTATTCGTGTGCTTATTATTATGAGTCTTCTTCTTCTTCTTCTTCTTCTTATTATTATTATTATTATTATTAATCTTATCATTCTTATTATTATTAAGGTTAGTATTATGTATATAAACGGCCTCAGGCAACGGATTTCTGACC